AAACTAAAGCAAAACTCCGAAAATAACCCAAAGCAAGTTTTCTCAGGTACTGTGACTGCTTGCCCCAAGGCAAGGGAACAGCCAAGCCAAGCTTTGTGATAAAAATCTCGCCTCACCCAGYAACTGAAGTTCCTTGGAAGTTTTGTGTCCTGGTCACACAAAAAAACTGTTGCAGGACAGCAGAGCATGGTAACCTAGAGCAGCACAGCCTCCAGAACAAAGAGGGCACAACACAGTGATGTTCACACAAATAAAAAGTGACTTTAATTTGACAATAACTGTCTTTTTACGTTAAAAACATTATTKGTGCTTAATTCGTAACATGCTTTAGAAAGCACTAAAACGTTTCTAGAATTGTTAAATTATTTTAGCAAGAATGGAAAGCAGGAGTTTAAGATTACTGATTTTGAAGATAGCTTTTTTTGATGGGAGTGCCCCTCCTAACATGCAATAAGGTTTCTCTGTACATAAGAATCCAATTACTTTTTAATACTGGGAGTTGCTGTAGCTTTGATCATACTAAAAGATAGGAAAATATTTCTTAGGTCTGTTTTGTCTTTGGATGTTTGACTGCATCTTATTTYATTGCTCTGTTTTGGAACTTGAACTTAACATTTTCCTGTTAAACCCAAATACTGCAGAGCACAAGRGAGCTGGAGAAAATAGGGGGAAAAGGATTATATTCCTTACTTACAAAAAGGAATAATTTTCTGAAAATATAACATAAAGAAGACTATACAAAAGGTTTACATATTGCTGGAACTAATAAATATGTAAAGCTAATAAGGGAGAGGTATTTTGAAATTACACACAGACTCCAAGTCACAGCATAAGAAAAAAAMCCAGAACTAAACTGCTTGGGTTGACTTGTTTCAAAAACAGTGCAGTAATTTGGCTCTTTTTTCCTTTTTCAAGCACTATTACCATACCAGAGATTGACTCACTTTTGTCAGAAAGTTACCCAYTCTCAAAGATGAGGTGAAATATTAAGACACTATACCGAAAAAAAGTGATATATCATTAAAAAATACTACAAAAGATGACACAGATTATCCCAAACTGCATCTAAAACTAAGACTCCCACCAAATCTTGCCATCTTTTTCAACATTCACTATGYTGAAATAAAACAACTGAAGAATTGAGGGGGAGGACCTACCCTGTGGGAAATGCTACATTTTCAATAAAAGTCACCACCTAAAATCCACTTTCACAATTCCATGTTGTTCCCCTGCTCACCTTCAGTGACTGAATAAAAGCAGAACTAAAATTCTGTAAAAGAGGTAGAGGCTCTAAATTAAAACAGTCTATAAAGGGGAGCGGGGGAAGCCAAGACCAGGTAACAGGATTTTCCAGGCTTTATCCTTCATTATAGGTTATTTCAGGTTAAACAGAGGGTGYTCACTGCCTGCAGAAGTCAGAAAAGGTAACCCATCACTAACCCATATCATAGTTATTTAAGGTTGCTTTAAACAGTGTTAACATGGTCACTTTGGGTGCAGGGCACACACAGCAACCATCAAACATGCTCAGTGCTCATCCTTGCTCTTTTCCTCATATTTGGTGTTGTGCTTAGCCCAGACAGGTTTCTGAAATACATTTTCAGATACCTAAAGACCTATCATATACTCATCCAAAATAATGAGCTATTCTTTCAAGATCTAACAAAAGGAATAGCTTGTTTTGCACTCCACCTCTGAATGTCAGTGAAGGGATCTGAAGAAATAAAATATTTCAGTGACTTATGAAAGGTAACACAAAATGGTACAAACAACTTCTAAAGGTGGATACTACTTCACAAAATCCAACAGCCCATTTGTGACAGAGGAATGCTGGTGGTACCACCATCATACTTCCACATTTCTTTGTCCCTCGAACAAGGATCTCCAGCAGATTACCAGGCCTGCTCTACCCAACTCATACTTCTGCCAGTCAGAGAGGTTTAATTCAGCTGTAATGCTTCTGCAGATCAGATTAAATCATTAAATATTATACATCATTAATTATATATATATTCAGAGAAGCCAAGGCTTACCTACTTTAAAAAATGTGAGAAGGCCTAACTGTCCTCTGCTTTATTCCCCAAAGTTCTGTGCAGAAAGCAACACTGCCTACAGTATTCTTTACGTGCACAGCACTTGGATGCCACGAAACCCCACAGACCTCACACTGCAACAGCAATATTTAACTCCACTAAAAGCAGTTTCTCCTTCTGTATTTAACATTCCTCCAAAATACGTGTTCAGCCTCAAATGACAGTGCTGCTCCCATTACCAATGCTGCTCTTCTCGCTGCCACATACAAGAAAGCCAATGAYAAAATTCCCATTTCAAAACGCACCACTTTGTCAAAAGGGCCTTTGTTGCCATGATCAGCAAACTGGCAAAACAGAAAATACAAGAAAGAGAACCTATAGTGGCAAAAAGAAAACTATTCCAAAAAACAGGAAGTGTGCAATCCCTTAAAATAGTACAAAGAGCTGTATATATACATATATATATATATATATATATACAGCTAAACACACAAGCTTGGAAAAACACCGCCTGACATTCCTACACGTTTAGATTGGGGTTTTCACAAGAATTAAGCACAGTTAACTCTGTTCTACCCAGGAGGTGGGGAGGTAACCAACCCTCTGCCTCTGGGAGTGCTGCTCAGCCTCCCATCCCCTGTAACCGATGCAATCAATCCAACAGATGCTTTTTGAAAAAATCACCTCCAAAACAGCATTTGTTTTCGAGGAACTGCTACAAATTGGAGGCCACAACGAGAAAAGCAGCACATGCAAATTCTAGTATTYCTATCAGTCAGTTCTGTAAGATGAGTTGCAAGCTCACTCTTCCTCCCCACACCCTGTCTTTGTCTCTGCTATCTCCTTATGCAGGAGCCGCTCTCATTTCCCTCTTTCTGTAGGTAGTTGTTTGAGAGAGAAAAGGGAGGAAACATGCAAACACACACAAAAAAAAGTCTGAAACAAAGAAAAATCCTAAGTGCTGCAGAGACCCCAGGGCAGGGGCAGCTTCCCAAGCAATTTTTCAATGAAACTTTATTCCAGCTCATGGAATCTGTCCAATTACAAACCATCCCCAAGCCTGGAGAGCCACACACCAACACCACCGCAGTCAGAATTAGAACATCCAGCCAAATATATCTAAGAAAAAATAATTTACAAGCACAAGCAGTGCCACACCCCTGGGCGAGAAGCTACAACAGAAGCCCCCAGGAAGAAGTGTAAAGAGTGAAAATTCTGTTTTGCAGGGCTGCAAACACCCCTCACCCTGTGCTACCATAAATGGTCCTCGGCAGCGCAGATAAAGCCGTCACCGCTCCAGCAGGATCAGTTTTCCTCCGGTAAGTCCACGTTAACGCTTTGCTCTATTTATTTGCCATCTCACCRTGCCACTTCGTAATACAGTATTGACCTATTTTCCAGGTGCTTAATTAATCTCTCTGCTGGCTGCCACGCTTATTAGACAGTTAAGTGTGTGTATTTTAAACTTAAGTTTATAGAAACCTCCAGCAAATTAACTSTGTTATGGAATTATTATGTCAGAAACTAAATCCTCACAGTCCATCCGAGACATGATCACTTAGTGTGACATCAAGCAGAGCCTAAACTTTTTTTGCAAATGATGTAAGGGGAGGTAATACTGGGCAGAAAAATAGTAATCACAGAAACATGCACCGTTATCAACAATTGCAGCTTTACCTAACATAATCCTCTCTCATCATAACATATTTTCTCACAATTCAAAGACACTAAAATAACTGAAATAAACAAGGTGATACACAAGCAGGGCGAGGCAAAATACAGAAGTAGGAAGATGCAAAAACATCGGCGCTACACAATTTCTGTAAAGTCAAGCCTTGAAGTCCCAAAAACTAAGTTAACATAAAAAAGGAAACAATCAGTTTCTGACGTTTTAAGTCAGATGCAACAGTTAGTAACACATGTATAACCTCAAAAGCAAGCTCTTCATATACATGTAAGCACATACCACTGACGGCTGAAGGCTTAATTTAAATAAAAATAATTCTTACAAACTCATCACTATTTCCTACAGYGTAAAACACACGTAAACGCACCTGCCAGCTTTACAATTGATACCACGACGAATCCAGAACAAACCCCGCACAATCCCTGCCGCAAACGTTACGGTAAAGCCTCCAGCAAACAAACCCCTCTGTTTTTACAGAGCTCGCTTTTGGGAACTGACCAAATTTTAAAGCGTCCACTTCCTTTCCAGTTGCTGTTAGCGATAGCGGCTCTCGGCACCATTTGCCGCTCCAGCTTTGCCCCCCAGCGCGGGTTTCTCTCGGGGGTCAGGGGGCGAGGGTCGCGTCCCGCCGGGACTGCCAGGAGCCCCCGCGGCGGTGACACCGAGCAGGAGCAGGAGCAGGAGCAGAACCGGAGCGGGCGGAGCCCAACCGCGCCCGGGCACCACCCCGGGACCCCCGCCGGCCGGGCGGCACCAGCGCTCCATACAAGGCGCAGGAGGAGGCGGTGCGGCCGGAGGGGAGCGGGGCAGAGCCCGGGGGAGAGAGAGGGGCAGAGCCCCGGAGGGGAGAGAGGGGCAGAGCCCGGAGGGGAGAGAGGGGCAGAGCCCGGAGGGGAGAGAGGGGCAGAGCCCGGGGGGGAGAGAGGGGCAGAGCCCGGGGGGGAGAGAGGGGCAGAGCCCGGAGGGGAGCGGGCGAGGGGCGGCCACACCTCCCCCGGCGGGCGGCGGCGGCCTCGCCCGGCACCCGGGGCGGATCGCGGTGGGCGCCTCGCCTCGCCGGGGAAGGGGAAACTTCGGGGACGCGGCGGGGCAAGCGCCGTCCAGGGCAGCGGGAAGGGGAAGCGGCGCTGCGCTCGGCCAGGCCGGCAGCGCTGCCCTGCACCCCGGGCAGGGGGGTCGGCTGTGCCCCGGAGCCCCCCGCGATCACGGTGCGAACGCTGCCGGCAGACAGAGCCGCTCTCCGCCCGCCGGGGCCGGCCCCGCTCGCACCGAGCGCTCACCTTCACGGGTCGGGCTGCGCTGGCGTGCGCGCTGGAGCTGCCGCCGCCGCCCTGGGCATGTCCGGGAGCGCTCCGGGGAAACGCCGCTCCGGCCGGGCTCAGCCGCTCAGCCCTGCCGCTCCTCCCGCTGCTGCTGCTGCTGCCGCCGCCGCCTCGGCCGCTGCCATCTTGTCCTGGCGGCTGGGAGGGAAGAGCCCCAGCTCAGCCCGCTCGACAGACCGGGCCTCCGCCTCATCTTCCCGGGGAGGGACCCAACCCGCCCCCGGCCGCCGCCTCCTCCGCCTCCGCCTCCTCCCGCCTCCGCCC